GTGTGCTACTTTTTTCTAATTAGTTCTTCTTATTCAAAATGGGCTCTTGGTAATGAACCTCATTGATTTGGTATTTGGAATTCTCAGTGGGATGTCTACTACTTCACCACTAAGCTTAACCTATATAAAAGAAAAACACTTGTTTGATTGAACTGTTGACTTTCAGTTCAATCTTTTATCATTAAATCATCATCAAATTCATCTAAAAAGGATCAATAAAATTAATTCCATTCCATACAAATAAAAGTTAGAAAAAAGAATATCTTAAAAATGTCACAAATTTCCATCTTCAAACATAAATTGAAATGTTGAAGCTTCTTGTCCATTTTACAATGAGATGAATATAAAAAAAAAATTAGGTTAATTTGCATTCACTCACTTAACTGCTATTATTTGTTGAATAAAACCTCTGTGTGTATGTATGTGAGAGAAAGAAAGAGAGTAAATGTTATATTGTATTAATAAAAGTAACATCACCAATAGATGATTTTAAAAAAAGGTTGCACTGTAGCATTGCTTAAGTGAGTGAGCACTCATTGAACAGATAAGAGTGCTGTTGGTAAATGTTTATCTTCCTCCTTGCCACTATCATTTCGGTCCACTACTTTTCAAATGTTTTCCTGTCATGTGATTAAATTCTAAATTCTGATTTGTCTATTTGGCTAGAAGTTGACTTGGAAGTTTGACTTTTTGCAATGTGACTTATGCCAAGAAAACATGAAAAATTAACATCATTTTAAGGCATCATTTATAATTCTGATAGGATTTTATGCCATTATCTTTGCTACATAAGTAGTTCTTGTGCTTTAATTGAATTCTCCAATTATATCTAGGTGATTTGTGTTATTATTTTCATTGTCATTAAGATAAAAAATATATTATCAGTAAAAATAATCAGTAAAAACATTTCAACCAGTTCTAAAGAATGTTGGTAATATTTTTATTACATAGATATTTCAAATTTTGCAAGTATATAAATGGACTTAACATTGAAAAACATGACTTTAGTAGATAATGTTTGATTAGCTCAAACTTTAACTTGAAGTAATAAAGAATCAGTGCTTTATTTAAAAATCTACATCATTCTCTCTCTCTCTCTCTCTCATATATAAGTTCATATGTGTGAAAAAGATAATTACCTGAAACCAAAATATCTAAAATAGAAAAAAATAATGGACCAAGAGATGTGTGTGTGTATATATATATAGAGAGAGAGATAGATAGATAGATAGATAGTTCACTGCTAACAGCAAGCAGAAATATTTCTCCTCCCGATGATGGCCATTTCGGTCAAAACTAGTCGATGAATCTAAATGGAATAATAATAATAAAAAAACGAAAGAATATTAATCTACAACCCAGTGTGTCTAATGATTTTAATTTTTTAATTTATTAATTTTTTTTTTTTAATTTTTTATTTTTCTTATTGTTCAAATATATATATATATATATATATAGAGAGAGAGATAGATATATAGATATATATATATATATATATATATATATATATATATATATATATATATATATATGAGAGAGAGACGTGTTTCATTGAAGGAAGTGAAAAAATTGCCATGTTGATACATATTATTTTATTCTGAGTACTTTCAGCATAGCAAAATGCCATCATCAGGGTGTTGTTTATTTCAAGACAAATATTGTAGGGTTCATTATTTTCAAAGACAAAATTGTTGCGTTCATCTGAAAGTTAAATGTTTTACTTGTGAAGTGAAGAACGCTGAGTCTCCAATTATTATACCACTTCAGGGGAAGTAATTAAATATGGTTTGTGGAGAGTTTTTAAGAAATAAGTATTAAAAAATATTAGTGCAAACCTTGATATTTTAAACTATCTACTGTACACATTTTAAAACATTTGTGCAGTATTCATAAATAATTTTATTAAGATTTGGTTTCAATTTTTTTTAGATGTAGATATATATATATATATATATATATATATATATATATATATATATATATATATATATATATATATATATATATATATATATAAAAAAAGAAAAAGTTGATATATTCTTTAAAATAAAATGAATAGATAATACTTTTTAAATGTAGCCACAATCTATTGAAAATTATAATATCAAAAACATCTATCTCAAAGTTATTATTTTTTAAAATTACATCTTTGAATTACACTATTAGTCATTTACTAAACATAGATTATTCTGGTACAAGGCAGTCCTGGGTATGATGATAAACTACATCTGGTAGCAAGGCCTCTGATCAGGAGATTGAGGATTTTGAGGAGCATGGGCCCACCTCTTAATTGTTGTTGTTCTTGGGTCCACTCTGACCCAGGGTGGTAGCAGCTGTTAGGGTTGCAGCTATGGGCAAATAGTGAACCTCCAAACAAAAACAAGACTATGAAAGTATAGGAATACATTTTTGTAGTAAAAATACCAGTAATGCATTTTTATAGAAATATGACCAGCAATATATTTTGTCTGTAGTTGAAGCCATAAAATTGTGTTCAAAATATTTAGATTCTGGCATTAAATAAACCATATGCTGCTAATCAAAGTCAAAATAAATTGTCACTAGGCTACAATAGTAGGGAATTGAATGAGGATCAGAGTCATTGTACTAGTGGATTGGCCTTTGAGATAAACTTGCTAATCTATTATGGTAGGGACCAAAGAATTATCTTATTAGTAGTAAAGAAAGGAATGAATAGAAAGAGTGTTGCCTAATGTCTCTGACAAGTTGTGAGTTCTCTAAAGGACATAAAGTTGCAGTTTTGGTTTACTATTAAATCTCAGAAAGAGTAAATATTTATATAATAAGTACAGAATGGTATTTTCTTGTGGCAACACACTTGAAGTTGAAATTAAGCATTTAGCTTCTTTAACTGCTCTGTCATTGAACTTTTATTACTCAAAATTAATTTATTTATTAAACAAACCAGAAAAACTATTCCACTCTCTTTGCGAGGCATTAAATAAGCAACATTGTTGTGGTGGTAGGGGTAAGAAGCTGTAATTCAACTCTACATTGCCTGAAGATGATTTAAAAAATGCTTAAAGAAAACATCACTCAAATATTTCTCTGAATATTTATCCTTGCATTTACAAAGACAAAGATCTCTTGATTTTGGTAGCCATCTTATTTGTAAACTGTTTACTTTAGAATCCTTTCATTGGTCACTTTAATCAGTTTTCTACAAGGATTGGATCTTTTCTACCTTATCTGAATGTAGACTTGAATCCCTGTTAATTTCTGGACACAGTTGGCTATGATGTATGCTTTGTATGTGTGTGCATATAAGTTAATTATAGCTACCAGTAGTCACTAGTCAGAACAGTGCTATCACTCTCTCTCTCTCTCTACTTATTTTGGATTTCACTTTTATCTCACTTAAACTACTCTGTCAGTTGCAGTTAATGTGACAAGTTTTAACATAAAAACATGATACAAGAAAGCCAAAAAGAAATGTGAGATTCCACTGGCTGCAAATAACAGACATTAGTGTGTTTTCTAAATAGTAATTTATAATTAAACTGGCTAACGACCAACAGGTGGGCTTGCCCCTAAATTAAAGATGTATGTGAGTGTGTGTGTGAATAGGTTTTGTTCTTACTTTTAAGCATTTTCATAGCAGTGTCCCTCTTAGTCAATACAAATTCTCACTTTTACTTTCTCTGTAGAAGTACATTTTATTTATTTATTTTTTTTTTTGGTCAGGCCATACATTTTTTAGCAACCCACTCAGCAAACCTTGTCTTCCCCAACTTACACAATTAGTCCTACAGTATTCGACACTGGCCATTGTTACTGCAAGTGCTAGCTGTACACAGTTGACACCAAGGATAGTTCTAACTGCATTTCTGAAAAAAAAATATGGTGGTAGTGGTGGTGAGACTTATAGAATTTTTTCCCCTTTCACCTTCTTATTTGTCCCTCTTAATTATGTTGATTTATTCAGGAGCATACCCCTGTTGTTTTGCTATGTGAATGTTTATGTAGATCTATGTGCTTTGATCCATTCATTTATGCTTTACTTTTTCTTTAACTCTTTTGCATACGAAATGTTGAACATTGCAGTTGTTTTTATCAGTTATTTCACCCTTTGTTTTTATTGCCCCCCCACTCCCCAGTTTTACTTCATAAATGATAATCAGTAGTTTGAATTTAAGAATTATTTAACCTTTTAATGTCTATTATAATTTTAATCATTTATAAATATGAATAATTCTAATTATTTAGCTCATGAGATATTTCATTTTCTATATTTAATCTTGTATTTCTTTAGATTTTTATGTTTAATCATTAAAATTTAATTTTTCATTTGGGGATTCTATTCATCTTAATTAAATTATTTATTAACCACATGCATGTTTTAACTTTTAATGCCTATTGCTTTTTTTTAAATTTTCATTTCTATATAATAATGTAATTATTTGTTTTGCAAAATCATTTGTACTGCAAAATCATTTGTACTCATTTCTATGTGGATTTATCTTCTTTGCTTTGTAAATTATTAGTTGATTTCTTTCCTTTTGTTAATTATTTCCCTTTTTCTTGATTTGTCTATTTTGATATATTATTCTATGAATCATATCTAGTTTCCACTAGTGTTTTTCAAAAAAAAAAAAAACAATTCATTAATAATGTTAATTATATAAAAGACAAATTACTGTATCCATACATTTTATAAATAAAAATATTTTAGTAAAATTCCAAGAAAACTTTGTTAAATTTTTAATTGGTACTGATATTTTCATTCTACAGTTCTATTTGCTGGAAAATATAGTTTCTTTTTTTTTTTTTTTCTATTTTTAAACTTTAAACCCATTAACCAAAACACATTTTTATAAATTATACCAGGATTTTTCTAACTAGTTTGCTGATTTAGGCTAAGGTTAACTTTTTAAAATCCCAAATGTTTTTATTTGTATTATTTTTTATTGTGCCTATACATAATACAATGTACCACAATAATTAATTTTTTTTAATATTTATAAAAACCAGTAAAAATCATGTTCTTATATCTTCCTTCTTCACTTGACAAAGGTCAATAGTGGCTAAACAAAGCACTGAGAATTTAAAGATTTGATATTTTGGATTAATCTTTACTATTTTTGTACAATTTGATACTAAATCAAACCAGAGCATTAATGGACTAGATAATTTTTATATAGTTTAGAAGAGGCTTTAAATATTATCTAGCCTTAAAAAGGGATATTTTAAACTTCCAAGTTTTAGTAATTGACAAAAGAAAGAAATAGACTATCTGTTTTATGTTGTGGAATGTCAACAGAATGTACAAGAATGCATTTCTGAAAAGGTCTGATGGCCTTTGTTGTTCTTGTAGGAAGACTCAACAGTTCGACTTCGACATTACAGACAGGTAATTATTATTTCACAAAAACATTTGCACTTCTTCAATCCATTTTACATACAGGACTTTTTTTTTTAAATTATCTTCTCTAATGTTATTTTACATTTTTTTATATGTAAAACTGTATTTCATATTTTGGATTTTATATATATATATATATATATATATATATGATGATAAAACAAAAATTAATTAGTTTAGTCAGAGTTAATGTAGATTCTTAAAAATAAATTTTCAATTAACTTTTTAATGTTGAAAATTGCAAGTAATATTTTACAGGCTGTCATAATATGAGAACTATTTTCAGACATGTGCTGTCTGAAGTTCTTAGATAAAATGTTTGAATTAGCATCCTCGTCTTTGTTTTGATCATTACATTTCAGTCAAATATATTGATTGAAAATAACAATGGTGAAGATATTAGTTTAAAAATTTTTTAAATAATGCTTTTTGTTAAATTTAATATATATATCACACACACACACACACACACACATATATATATATATATATATATATATATATATATATATATATATATATTATGTATGGGATAAGAACAAATAGAGTATAATTTCACTGTCTGTAGCATTTAATTTTTTTAAAAAGAGGAGGCACAATTTGAAGGCTGAAACATGAAATCTATTGTGTAGCAATTTTTAACGTTTTTGTTTTAATCTCATATATATGTAATTTTTTGTTAGTCATAGCCATAAGAATTTTTAGTTTTAGGTTTTCTGGCACTGAATGTTGTGTGTACTTTTATAATTGTATTATTTATTTCTAATTATAAACTAAAGTTATAACTTCCCTGTACACACTCAAGACTCTTAGTAGTTCTCTTTCTATGGGGTTAAGCAGTTGGCTTTCTGAAAACAAAAAAAATATTAAAATTCCAACTTAGAGTACCAGGTTTTCAGATACCTACTTATTAAGTATTGAAATAATTATATCCTGCTTTCTTATTTAAAAATTAAGCACCATGTATATTTGTGTTCAGGAATAGAAACCACAATATTTACAATATTTTAGAAACCAGTGAATTCTTTTGTATTATAAATATTATATTTGTACTGTTTATAATATAAATTAGATTATTATATCATTAACTCATTGTACCCAATAACTTGGCTATTGTTTAGAAAAAGCATAGTTAGGTTTCTAGATTATCCAATTTGGATTATAATTTTGAGATGATTTTTTAACCTCCAAGAAAGAAATAAGCTTTCGTTCCATAACTCAATCTAAAAATCTATACTATTATTCTGCTTGCTTGTATGTATGGCTACTATGTTTTTCTACCAAGAATCAGAGTATAGTACTTGTATCCAATCTTCAGCCCTTCTGAACTGGGATCTGATTCCTACAATTATTTTCTCAAGTAATCATAATCTTTTGTAGCATATTTCTCCCTACTCCAAATGTTTGTATTATAGATTATAATTGTATTTGTCTTTTTATAAAATATAAATTGAAGCCAATTTAAACTAAACAATTATATCATTAACGTGTGTGTGTATATACAAACTAAATTCTATTACAACTGTATTTATAATCATAATCCTATCTAATCTATTATTCTACTTGTTTGTATATATTTCTTTTTACTTGAGATCAGAGTGTAGTATCTGCACATCCCTTGCTCTTTTGAGTTGAAATCAGCTGTTTTCTGACTGAGAAATCTTTATCGTAATATTAATTTGGAAGGAATTGGGGCAAAACAAAAAAGAGGAGGAGGAAAATTAAAAACTAGTAGAAAATAAAAAAAAACCAAGGGAAAGGAAAGGAAAATATATATATAATATATATATATATATATATATATATATATATATATATATATATATATTGAAAATAGGAAAGGATGGAGATAAAAGAAAGGTACAGGCTTGTTGGTTGGAAATCAAGAGACAATAATCAAAAGATGGAAAATAGGTAGGGATGGAAAATTGTAAAAATTCAAATACATTAAAATGCTCTATGAAAAGATAGAGCAAAAGAAGACTAAAAGAGAGGCCACAATAGAAAACATTTGTCTATTCCTCATCCCCATTTTTAGTCAACTACTTCCTCCCTCCTATGGAAGAGTGGAATCAATATTGACTACTCCCTCTCCCCCTACAGAAGGACAAAATTAAAAGCAAAATGAAAGGAGAATAAAATCTAAAGGGAAAGAATGAGTGGAGAAGTAAACTCAAACAAAAAAAAAATGAAACATTTAAATATTATACTAGAAATTTAATAGTAATACAAAATGAATGAAATGATTAAAAAAAAGTCAGTTTACCTTTCACTTTTTCCCCTCCCCGAAACAATTCATTTCTACTTCTCTAAGTTTCAGTTTGTTAACATTCTTCCACACAAGGCTTACCAAGGAAAGTATTGAGTCTCATAAACATTTTGCATCCATTAAGGCAGAAATTTTGCATCTGCTAAATTTTCTAAAGAAACAATAATTTCATTCAACTCTCCTTCATCTTATGTATTAAAGGCAAAGATGATTCAAGACATCAAAGATTTCAGAAAGAATGGAATGCAGTTTAAAAGAAAGCAAGAATGAAACCACCAAACTTCAATGTTAAATCATGTAACCTTTGCATTCATAAGTAATTTTCAAAGAAGAATGGAAAAACATTCTCACTTATCAACCAATTTCTTAAAATAAACCAAATTAAAAGTTACCTGTATATATTATATACAGCCTGAGTGCAATTACCATTATTTAAATTTAAAAAAATTTTTTTTTATTTTTATATATCTCATTTTGATCAGGTAACTATGTTAGGCTTAGTGTTAGTTAATATAAGCATACCATAGTTTAACAGACTAGAGTTACTGATTGGAGGAATAAACTCCATCCAACTGTACTTGAAAGGATATAAATTTGGAGAAACAATGTTAGAAGTGAACCTCTTGGTTTAAACTAGCTATATTGTTTTAAACTGTTAGAAGAATTTATATTCTATTTTTGATACTTTGCAAGAAGAAGAAAGAAATGGTCAGGGGAAAAAAAAAAAAAAAAAAATATGATGAGGAAGGAGAATCAGAAGGTGTATCGAAAGAAACAAAAGAAGAAGTTGGGTGAATTATATATGCCTCTGCCTTTTGTATAAAATTTGTAAAAATGAATTAAGTTTGGAATGAACAAGGAAGGCTTTAGGTTAAGAGAAGAGCAGAAGAGATAATGGAGTTGTATTAGAAATGGAATAAAATGAGAAGGAGGTAAAATCAGAAAATGAGATAAAAAATGGAATGAATGAGAAGATACAGAGAAGCAGAGGTAGGAGATAATAGTAGTTATATTGGAAGGATAAGGAATAAAATGAAGAAACAAAAATATCAGAAAATGAATAATTGAAGCATTGGGAATGAGAAGATACAGGTTAAAGAAGAGCAGAGGTAGGAGCTAATAGATAATCTTAGTTATACTGGAAGAGATAAGGAATAAAATGAGAAGATACAGGTAAGAGAAGATCAAAAATATCAGAAAATGAATAATTGTATTGGAATGCATTAGGAAGAGAATGAGAAGATACAGGTTAAGAGAAGAGCAGAGGTAGGAGATAATAGATAATCTTAGTTATACTGGAAGAGATAAGGAATAAAAAGAAGAGAGAATGAAATATGAGATAATGGATAATTGTAGTGGAATGAATAAGGAAGCGAATGAGAAGATACAGAGAAGAGCAGAGGTAGGAGCTAATAGATAATCTTAGTTGTATTAGAAGGGATAAGGAATAAAATGAGAAGATACAGGTAAGAGGAGATCAGAAATATGAGATAATGGATAATTGTAGTGGAATGAATAAGGAAGCGAATGAGAAGATACAGAGAAGAGCAGAGGTAGGAGCTAATAGATAATCTTAGTTATATTGGAAGGATGGAATGAATAAAATGAGAAGATACAGGTAAAGAGAAGATCAAAATATCAGAAAATGAATAATATGAGATAATGGAGAAATATGAGATAATGGAATGCATTAGAAGAGAATGAGCTAAAGATAACAGGGTTAAGAGAAGATCAAAATATCAGAAAATGAATAAGGTGGAATGCATTAGGAAGAGAATGAGAAGATACAGATAATCTTAGATAATCTTAGTTGTATTGGAAGGGATACGGAATAAAATGAGAAGATACAAGTAAGAGAAGAGCAGAAGCATGAGATAATGGATAATGTTAGTTGTCAACACTCATAGAATTTCTACAGGTCCAGCTAGTTAATGAATTATTCTACATAATTGACATTCAACAGTGTGTCTTACATGCAATAGATTTAAATTTTGCTAGCTTACACTTCAGATATTGAGCCAACTTAGGCACACATCTCTATACATTAATACCTGGAGAAGAATAAACCAGTTTGTAAGAATAACTTGTTAACAAATGCTCTATAACAAGGACTAAAATAGACCCTAGGGTTGTTCATGAATAATCATTCTATTGATTAATCATTTTTATCAGGTGTTTGATTTTGGTTCAGTAGTATATATAAATATTTGTGAATGAATATTATCATATACTTGTAATTTATAAAATAGTTCAAATTACTGGACTCCAAATATATTGAGTCACCAAAAAATATTTTTTAGCATTTGTTTTTCTATTTAATCTATAACTGTATATTAAAATAGGCAAGGTCTTATAAAATAAATTTATCTGTTTTTTTTTTTTTCTCATATACAAGATACCACTCAAAAGCTTTAGGAACTTGATCATGAAAAACATTAATTATTTTAACATTTACTTGTCTCATTAAGCATGAATAGAGAATTCTGATTGCAAAGAGTAGCAGCAAAATTCCATTCTGTATTCATTTTGTAGTCCATTTTTTTTTTTTGTATCAGCAGATAAATTGAAAGACATACATACTTACAGGTGTGTGTGAATATATATATATATATATATATATATATATATATATATATATATATATAAATATAAAATGTGTGTGGTATATATACTTACACTTTCACATGAATTTAGCTTACGATATCCAATGTTAAGCAAC